AATAGAATTTTATGAGCACTTGTCCAGTTAAAAAATCACTAGTTTGTCAGGATCTTAGTTTCTAAATATTACCATTTATTCAATAATAGGAACTAGGGCTCTTTAGAGAAGTAGCTAATTCTAGGGCTGAGGCAGAGGAAATGCATCATGAGCTTAAAGCATCTTGTACCAGAAAGTTAGTAACTGCTACACACACGCAAACAAACAAACACAATGAAGGGAGTATGTCACAGGCAGACAAGAGCCAATTAGAAGAGTTTCTAATAGCCAAATCTGGAACACTTTCTTTCTTTCTTTCTTCTTTCTGGTATACTGATGTAGCCCTAAAAGCTATATTGGAACATGAGAAAGCCTTAAGACTGGAAGAAAAAGAAAATAATATGCAGGGTAGGGTAAAAGTAGGTTTATAGTTGTGCGTGTAAGAAACACAGAGTTTATTCTTATACCATTATTTATTAACTAGAGACCTAGTGCATGAAATCTGTGCATGTGGGAGGGGGTGTCCCTCAGCCCTGCTTGAAACCTCTCCAATCTGGTACCCCTCATGCCTAAACTGGCAGTCTGACATCCCTCTTGCAATCCAGGACCACTGGTGTCTAACCACTCACCTGTCTGCCTGCCTAATGCCCCCAACTGCCCTCCCCTGCTGGCCTGGTCACCCCCAACTGCCCTCCCCTGCCAGCCTGATCTCGCCCCTAACTACCTCTGCCTCAGCCCCCACCACCATGGCTTTGTTCAGAAGGAAGTTGGACATCTGGAAGATGACCTGTTGACCTGGTCTAATTAGCATATTACCCTTTTATTAGTATAGATTATCTAGGATAAGATTGCATAAATGGGGGTGGGATCATTTTTCAGCAGGAGGAAATGCTTTTGGCAGAAAAAAAAATACATAACCCCTATATCTGGACTGATAGCCAGCCATATGCACTATAGTGCCAAACTGGTCATTAAAAAATTGAACCACTTTCTTACACCTTACACAAAACAGCTTTTGCCCTTAAAACTCCTCCTCAGCCCCCATCTTAGATTCTGCCTTTGCAGTTCACCAAAATTAGGTTCTGATTTGTCAGTTTCTATGCCAGTCAGTGTCAAAAGCTCCACCTCCTAGGCAGCCATTGGCTCCTCTCAGTTCCCCCAGATTTGATTCTGATTGGTTGGTTTCTGTGTCAGTAAGCATCTCCAGGTCTATCTCTGAGCCTGATCAGAAAGGCTGGGCTGATCAGCCCCCAAGGAGGCCAGAGAGAAACAAGAGGCACAGCTGCTGATGAAGCCCAGAGAGAAAGAGAGGCAACAGCTGAATAACAGCTGCCATGGAGGCTGTGGTCAGACCCTGCCTCTCTTTCTGGGCCTGATTCGCAGCCCCCTGGGCAGTCAGGGCTGGGTCACCATGGCAACGCAGCACTGACTGCAGGACTGACTTCTGGGTGTTCGCTGAGGCCTTTGATCTGTCATTATGAACCCTAGGTTTTTATATATTAGGATAGGATAAGCACCACCAGCTCTGCAAAGAATTCTGTTTGGGGATACTGCAGGCTCTTTTAAGTGCTGTGACCTCAGCCAATGGTCTTTTCCTCAGGCCCACCTCCCTTCCTTAGATAGATTTAGTATTGGGGCTGGTGAGGGCTCTTCACATTGATTCTGAGCTGGCCTTTTCTTATCAGATTGCCTAGCCCCGTGGTCAGCAAACTGGCTCGTGAACCACACGCAGCTCTTTGGCCCCTTGAATGTTGCTCTCCCACAAAATACCACAACCTGGGCGAGTCTATTTTGAAGAAGTGGCATTAGAAGAAGTTTAATTTCTTAAAAATTTGGCTCTCAAAAGAAATTTCAATCGTTGTACTGTTGATATTTGGCTCTGTTGACTAGTGAGTTTGCCGACCACTGGCCTAGGCTGTATACCACCTGCCTCTCTCACTCTCTAATTAGATGCAAACACATGTGGGTAACTGAGGCAAGGGTTTCATCTCTTTCCTTCTTTACTGATGGGACCTTTTCCCCCTCACCTTCTGACCTTTGATGCCTTTGGACTGCTGACCATTTAAAAGCAGCCTGTGATTGCTTCTTTTGTAAAACAAGCTACCTCCCTCTACTTTAGCTGACTGTTTGGAATTTCACATATTGGGCTTACCCAGAGTGGAGCGCATCTCTCCAGGGCTGTGGTTGGCGCTGGGTAGACATCTGCATCTGTGTTGTGTGTGTGGTGTGGCTGACCAGTAAGTGAGTATCCCTGTGTGTGTGAATAAAGCCACTCCCAGGCTGGTGCTCTCCTCCTGTGCCCGGTGACTGCCCAGTGGCAGCTTTAGCTGCCCTTCACTCTCACCTGCTGCCAAAGCCCCTGTGCTAATGGGATTACAAATACAAAAAGTGGGGGAAAACTTTTCATAAACTATGTTTTATATTTAATAAAAAAACCCACAAGTCTCTGTGTGTGTTAAACATGAGGTCCTGCCTTTGTGGCCATGTTTGAAAAAATAAAGTTTTATTAGAATAATCCATTTTCCCAAGCCAGAAGAAGGAAGAGGAGGAGCAGGAGGAGGAGGAGGAGAAGAAGTTCCATCAGCCCTTTTGGAGAGGTTTATGGCAGTGGAGGGTGGGAAAATGAGGAACCCTTACATGGATGGACAAAGTCAAGACATTAGAAAGGGCCAACTTCGTTAGTCTGAATGTTTCTCACTTCTTTCCACCACTGCTCCACATATTTAAATGGCTGTTTGAACCTAAAAGATGGGATTCAGAGCATTTATTTTTGTCTTGCCAGAGAACAAGGAGAGAAAACAATTGAGCTGCTGCTGTATCTTGACTTCCCTGGCAGGGATTCCTAAAGAAATGCTGAGAAGTGTGATACTGCAAGTAATGGCTTGTAATAGGCCCTGGAGCGTAATCACAATTTTCTTTTGAGTCTTGTAGGTGAGGAAATCCTTTTTCCCAGGTAAAATAACAGGATGCCAGTCTAACTAGATTTCCCTGTGTTATCCCGAGGAATCCCTCTGAATCACAGGAAGGGAAAAGATGAGATAAAGAAGGGGCCCAGTGGCCAAGATGGAGACAGACTAGGCAGCTTTAGATCCCATTAAAGAGACCTTAACAGCCAATGATTTGGTGTATAGATTACTGTACCCTGTGCATGGGGAAAATACAGGGTTTCTCTGTCTAGATGAGCTGGATTTGGAGGCAGAACATGTGTATTTTTCAGCCACACCCATTACCTATTGTGTCTGGAGAGCAGTCACTGACAGTGAAGCCATCTGGGTGGATGGTAGACTGTCTACTCTCTGGGGATTTCCAGTTCTGAGGTCTTATAGGTATTCAGTGCCAACTCAGGTAATAACATTGCTGCTTGTGTGGGGGAGAAAGCCTGAACAGAGGAAGTCAGATGTGAGCTGCCTTCCTGTGAGGTGGCCTGCTGCCTCTTCTACATTCTGTTGCTAATTCTGAAGATTTATTTCATATGAGAAGCATTTTGGCTGAGGTTTAGAGGCTACCCCCACCCCTGGGCTGGAAGACACACCTGTAATTAGGGGAGAGTTTAGTGATCAGGGTTGTCTCTAAGTGTGTTGGGGATTTCCCTCCCTCCTGGGGCTGGCTATCTGGCTGGATCCCCAGTATACCCATCCAGTCTTGCTTAACCCATTAATATACATGTGGGCTAACAGGAGAAATAGATCAGAAGTGTAGCATCAGGAATCCACGTTCATGTCTGCATTCCAGACTTTCTTACCTGTGTGGCCTCCTTTTTTTTTCTTCTTTTTTTTTTTTTCTATTGGTAAAGACATGGTGATGTCCTTTTTACTTCTTGAGATACTTACAAAAACAAAATGCAATAGTGTGAAGCAAAGAACTTGGACTCGCGAAGTGTCATTGTTACCGTTTTAGTTTATCAACTCTGTGTCTGTGGGGAAGCCAGTTCAAGGTTCATTTCCTATTATCACTGTTGCCCAGGGTGAGCTTGTCAAAGGGATACTCTTGCCCTAACCGGTTTGACTCAGTGGATATTAGCTTTGGCCTGTGGACTGAAGGGTCCCAGGTTCAATTCCGGTCAAGGGCATGCACCTTGGTTGCGGGCACATTCCCAGTGGGGAGTGTGCAGAAGGCAGCTGATTGATGTTTCTAACTCTCTATCCCTCTCCCTTTCTCTCTGTAAAAAAAAATCAATAAAATATATATTTTTTAAAGGGGGGGTACTCTGCCATGTGGCTTCCAGGCCCCCCAGCTTGCTACTCGGAATCAACATACATTAACATATGTGTTGCTGAATAAACGAAAACACTTCTGGTAAAGTTAAAGACCCTCTCCACTTTATTTTAATCCTGGCCCAATCCCATTCTTTTGCTTCTTCCCCCAGAGGCAACTATTATGATAACTTTCAGGCCATTTTAGTTTTCTTATTTTTATTTATAAAAATTGATTTCAGAAAGGAAGAGAGAGGGAGAGAGAGAAACATCAATAATGAGAGAGAATCATTGATCTGCTGCTTCCTGCACGCCCCCTACTGGAGATTGAACCCCCAACAGGGGCATGTGCCCTGACCAGGAATTGAACGGGAACCTCCGACTTCATAGGTCCATGCTCCACCACTGAACCACTAATGCAGGGCTAGGCCATTTTAAAAATGCTTTTACTATGAACATACACCCATATTCACCAGGGCCCCAGACCACCCACCTCACCACCTCCATACACCACACTGTTTATAAGGGGATGATTAATTTTGTGATTTCCAGTGTCCCACAGAATACCTCCTCCCTCCATCCCTGGAGATCCCAATCTGAATGTGGGACTGGGTGGGTGGAGAGTCTCTTGGATACCCTTTTAAAATTTACAAGCTGAGGGATTTACGCGTACTAATCAACCAGAGACCTTGATTTAGGAACCAAGAATTTTATTGCAAGATGGTAAAACCCAGAAGGGCAACGTTGCTATATGCGTTCCCATCCGATAACCAGAGGAAGTCACACCCCTCCTCCCCCCTGGCTGTGGGAAAGCAGCCTGAGCTCGGTTCATTTCTTTTTATCGTCCAGGGAGAGCTTGTCAAGGAGGTTCTCCGTCAGGCTGTCTTCCGGGTTCCTTGGGTACATAGGGAAGGTGCTGAGATGATCCCTGAGCTCTTCAATGGATTTCACCTGACTCTGCAGGGTGCTGTCCTCCAGGAAATCTGCCAGGCGGGCGTCCTTCTTGTCCACAGCGAGCTGGCGGATAGACAGCAGGTTCTGGTTGACGTTGATGGCCAGATTCAAGGCGTGTTCCATGGCCTTCAGGCTGCTGTCCCAGTAGTTGTAGTCAGGCCTATTGATGTTGCCGTCGTACTGGCGGTTCTGGCCGCTGCGCTGGTTCTGCAGCCGAATGAGCCCTTCTACGTGCTCCTTCAGTAGGGCGGACTGTCTCAGGAGGAACTGGCCCACGTACTTCAAGGACATGTTCTTTTCGAAGTACGAGGCCATGGACTTGTACACATAGATGACATACAGTTCCAGGTGTATCTGGTGGTTAACAGCAGCCTCGCAGGCAGGGTGGTAGTTAGTGGAGCGCCTCGGAGGGGTTGTCATGGCTGGTGGCGCGAGTGCGGGGATCAAAGCGCGGACGTGGGGGCTTCGGAGTCGGCAGCGGCGGTGGGCGAGGCGGCGGCCGCGGTTGCGGGGTCCTCCGAGTCTACCCAGGGTGAGAGACTTCGGTGGCCTTACCCAGGGTGAGCGACTTCGGTGGCCAGCGGCCGGCTACTCGGGAGTTGGGTCGCAGCTGGCCGGCCTGCTTGCGATATAACAGGCGGTCGCTTAAGATCTGGCCGCGTTGGGAGTGGAATGTGGATTCCCTACAGGGGGTCATTGTGAGGCACAGCATTCCACGTTCCACCTGAGCCCCAGGCAGGAAACCTGGGCCACTCAGCTGAGTGTCTCAAGACCTTTTTTAAAAAAAGGCTCTGATGAGATAGAAGTTATATACTATAACATTCACTTTTTTGCAAGTGAACATTTATTTCCATGGTTTTAATGTACACACACATACACACACACTATGTATAGATAAAGATAGAGATAGAGATAGAGATAGAAATAGAAGTATATGTATATACATATATCTCTCTCTAGCTATATATCTATATCTATATCTATATCTATATCTATATCTATATCTATATCTAATCTATATCTATATCTATATCTATATCTATATCTATATCTATCTATAGATTGATTTTAGAGAGGAAGGGAGAGACACACACACATATATAGATATATAGATATAGATCTATATCTATGTGTGTGTGTGTGTGTATATATATATATATATAGTTTGATTTTAGAGAGGAAGGGAGGGAAGGAGAGAGAGAGAGAGAGAGAGAGAGAGAGAGAGAGAGAGAGAGAGAGAGAGAGAGAGAGAGAGAGAGAAACATCAATGATGAGAGATAATCATTGATGGGCTACCTTCTGCATGCCCCACACTGGGGATGGGTTGGGCTGCACCTCAGGCACATGCCCTGAGGGGGAATCTAGCCTTGACCACACTAGCTCAGCCATAGTTGGCAATATATTCATGAAGGTGTGCAACACCACAATCTAATCTCTGAACATGTTCAATACTCCAAAAGGCAACTCCTTACCCATGAGCAGTGAAGTGCCCAATCTGCTTTCTCCCAGGAAGGGCAACCATTGATCTACTTTTTGTCTCTATAGATTTGCCTATTCTGATCATTTCAAATAGATGAGATCATACCATATGTGGCCTTTTGTGTTTGCCTTCTTTTACTTAATATAATGTTTTTAACATTCAGCCTTTAGAAAAAACTACTTTCATTTCTCGGGCATTCTTGTTTATATGTTGTATATGTACGTTGCCCCCAAGTTCTAATAGTGTTTTAAGAAGAAATTGTAAGTTATTTCTGAGCCTCCTGGTGGGATTCCTGTATTGTGTCTCTTTACTTCCTTTTGTTTGTATCTTGGGAAAATGCCTCTTGGATTTTCAATCAGAATGTGACTCTTCATTCATAAAATAAAAACAAACTTGAAATATCGGGGCAGCTTCTTGGATGTGATTGGGTCTGTTTGCCTTTTTTTACAGTCTTTGCAGAAGATTTTCATAGATTTGCAGTGGCTTCTTTATTTGAGACAGTGTGTGAGAAGTCACGAGGTCTAACCCAAATGTATTCCTTCTATATGCAGACATAAGAGATTGGAAACACTGAAAATTTCCTGCAGAGAAAAACCTTAATTTGCATTATCGATGCAGCATTATGATGCCCAATCCAGACTCACTCTCATGGTAAGTACTCCACAAGAGTATATACATACAATGCAAGTGTCACAATCATCTAAACTCACATTGTAATGCCAGATCATACTCAACAATGGTCATAGCAAGTCCTAGTGAAGATTATAGACTATTAAGAAAAGGTTTTTCTTCTCTATTTAAATAAAGCTACAACAAAAATAGGGTTGCATGTAGTATTTCATTACATGGATATACCACATTTTATTTATCCTTTCATCAGTTTATGGACTTTTGGGTTGTGTTCTTTTTTTTCTGTGGTGCTATGAATAATATTGCTATAAACATCTGTGTAAGGTTTTTGTGTAGATATATATTTTCAATTCTCTTGAGCATATACCTAGGAATAGAATTTCTGGGTCATGATAACTCTAATAGTTTGAGAAACTGTCAAAATGTTTTCCAAAGTGACTATACCATTTTACATTCCCACCAGTAGTGTGTGAGGGTTCCAACACTGTTATTGTCTGTATAAAAATTATTTTTTAGCCATCTTAAGTGGATGTAAGGTAGTATCACACTGTGCTTGTGATTTGCATTTCCCTAATGACTAATGATGGTGAACATATTTGTATGTGCTTGTTGGCCATTTGTATACCTTCTTTGGAAAAATGTCTATTTAAATCATTTTAAGTAGAATGATTTGTCTTTTTATTGTTGAGTTGTACGAGTTCTGTGTATATTCTAGATACAAGTGCCTTATCAGATATATGATTTGCAAATATTTTCTCCCAGTCTGTGGGTTGTCTTTGTGCTCTCTTAATTGTGTCCTTTGAAAAATACAAGTTCTTAAAAGTTCAACTTATTTATTTTTTATTTTATTGAGGTTTTGATGTCACAAGGAACTATTGCTTAATTCAAGATAAAAGACTTACATCTAGGTTTTCTATTAAGAATTTTATAGTTTTAGCTCTTACATGTGGGTACCTTTTGGTCTCTGATTGTTACTGAGTTAATTTTTGTATGAGATATGAGGTATGTATCTAGCTTAATTCTTTTGCATGTGGATTTCCAGTTATCCCAGCACCATTTATTGAGAAAGCTATTCTTTCTCCACTGGATGGTCTTGGCACATTTGTTGAAAATCAATTGATCATAGATATATCAATTTATTTCTAGACTCCTAATTGTATTCTGTAAGACCATATAGTTAAACTTACGCTAGAATAACACTGTTTTGATTATTGTAGCTTTGAAGTAAATTTTGAGAGAGGGAAGTATGAGTCATTTAACTTTATTCTTCTTTTCAAGGTTGTTTTGGCTATTCAGGGTCCCTTGTATTTTCATGTGAACTTTAGGATAAGCTTACAAAGTTCTTTTTTAAAAAGCTAGCTATGCTATTGTGGGCATTGAAACTAGATAGTTTGGGGAAGTATTGATATCTTAACAATATTAAGTCTTTTGATCTATAAATCTGGGATGTCTGGGACCTCTTAAAATATAGATTCTGATTTAGAGTGGAGTAAAAACTCTGAATTGCTAGATAAATATCACATGATCTCACTCATTTGTAGAATATAATGAACAGCATAAACTGATGAACAAAAATAGAACCATATAAGTACAACCAATGGACATAAAACTCTGGGGTGGGAGGGTATGTATGGGAGCGGGGGCAATGTTAAAATATGTACACAGATAATAATTTAATTAAAATAAATAAATAAATAAATAAATAAATAAGTAAAATTAAAAAAAAAATAGAATCAGAAATATAGAAGCATCAAACAGACTGTCCAACCTATGAGGGAAGGCAAGGGGTGAGGGAGTAAGAGATCAACCAAAGACTTGTATGTATGCATATGAGCATATCCAATGGACACATACAGTAGGGGGGTGAGGACATTCGCTGGGGGTTGGGGGCTGCCAGAGAGAGGTCAATGGGGTGGGGGGGTGGGGGAAGGAGACTTATATAATACTTTAAGCAATAATTAATTTAATTTTTTTAAAAATCTGAATTTCTAAACGAGCTCTCAGGTGATGCCCGACTGCACTCTGAGTAACAATGTTCTAAAAAGGAGGAGTTTTCCATCCTCTGTTGTCTTGGTTCATTCAGGCTGTTATAACAAAGTACCCCAGACTGGATGGCTTCTAAACAACATGTTTATTTCTCATGGTTCTGGAGTCTGGAAGCCCAAATCAGGGTGCCAGCATGGTTGGGTTCTGGCAAAAATGATCTTTTGCCTTGCAAATGGGTGTCTTCTCACTGTGTCCTGACTTAGCTAAAGGTGCCAGGGAGTTCTCCAGAGTCTCTTTTATGAAGACACTAATCCCATTCATGAAGGCTCTATTCTCATGACTTAATTACTCCCAAAGGCCTCACCCCCAGGTACTATCACACTGAATGTTAGGGTTTCAATATATGAATGGGGGTGGGGGAAGGGGTAGGATGCACACAATCCATCTCTAGCAGTTATTTGAGGTGTGGAATTCAGGAGAACATATAAATATTGGCTTCCATAAGCAGAAATGCCTGTTCCCACCTCACAGACAGTGTTTCCAATAGTTACAACAGATGTGGGTTTCTGTGGGGAAAGGGAGAGGCCTTCCTCCTAGCAGGAGAAATTGTGGATGATTTTAAGTTTGTCAAGGAAAAAATTCACTAGGTGTTGTTTTCAGAGCCCCCTTGGTTGATTTTGATCTATTTTATAACTCTGAAAATTGTGGGAAACTAATGCAAATCATTCTTGTCCACGGAAGTACAAATGAATTGTGTCTGGTGGAAGGCAACTTACTTTGGACTCATTTTGCATTTTCCTTTGAACCATTTGTAACATCTTACTGATTTCCTCATTAATGAATGAGTGAAAAAAAATATTTGACGTGTATTTACTTTGTATTTACACAAGAGTCATGAGTTTATTTTTCTTTAGTGATCTTCTAACATTCCTCATTCTCATCCCAGCCTCGCTAGGAACACATTCAAACTCCACAGGAGTGGGCTTAGTGTATTATGCCCTTTCACGGGCTTCTCACCAGAGATATGATTCCACAAAGGTATTTGGGATATAAAGGCATAGACTTCCTGACTGGATGTGGACTGGAAGGATAGCATCTCTGATGAGAAGAAGGCAGGGGGTATTGGGGGAAGCAGGGAACCAATGCAAACCAGCGGAGGATCGGTGCAATTAGAGGGCAGGCCACAGGGGGGACCCCATCAGCAGAACACTGTAGTCACTGTGGGGCTGAGGCTGGCCCAGTGCATGTTAGAGAGGGAAGAGAACTAGGTATGGCCAGTGAAGGCCCATAGAAAACCAGAGGCACCTGAGAACAAAGGGAGTAT